TTAGAGAAATGCAAATTAAAACAACTTTGAGATATCATCTCCCATATATCAGATTGGCTAAAATGATAGAAGGGGAAAATGACAAATATTAGGATACTAATACACTGTTGGTGGAGCTGCAAACCAATTCAACCATTCTGGAGAACAATCTGGAACCATGGCCAAAGGGCTATAAAGCTGTGTATACTGTTTGACCCAGCAATACCACTACTAGTCCTGTATCCCAAAGAGAACAAAGAAAAAGGAAAAGGACCTAAATTTACAAAGTAGCATCTCTTTTTGTGATAGCAAAGAATTGGATATTGAGGGGATGTCCATCAATTAGGGAATGGCTGAACAAGTTGTAGTATATTATTGTGATGGAATGCTGTTATGCTATAAGAAATGATTAGCAGGATGCTTTCAGAAAAACCTGGAAAGACTTAAATGAACTGATGCAAAATAAAGAGAGCAGAACAGGAGTATATTGTACACAGTAACAACAATACTGTACAATGATCAACTGTGAATAATTTAGCTAATCTTAGCAATATGGCAATCTAAGACAATTCTGAAGGACTTATGATACAAAACCTTATCCACCTCCAGAGAAAGAACTGATGGAGCCTGAATACAGATTGAAATATACTTTTAAAAATTATTTTTCTTGGTCTTTTTGGCTTTGTTTTCTTTCACAGCATGACTAATATGAAAATATATTTTTCATGACTGCACATATGTAACCCATATTAAATTGCTTGCCTTCCCAATGGGGGTGGGGGTGGGAGAGTAGAGAGGAAAGGTGAGAATTTGGAACTCAAAATTTTAAAAAAATGGTAAAAATTGTTTTTACATGTAATTGGGGAAATAAAACATTTTTAAAAGAAAAAATTGAAAGAGAAAAAGAAAACAATATTTTTCCTTCTCCGGTATTTTGGTTCCTCTCCCTTTTTTCATGATCTATCAAATATTACTAACAGTGACTTAGCAAACACATCTGCCAATTCCTGCAGCACCTGAGGATATAGGTCATTTAAACCAGAGGATTCACATCCATCAAGGTCAACTAGATTCTTTCCCACCACCAGTAACTTAGATATAATTTATAGATAATTAGAGGTAACAGAGATTGTTTAATTGAAAAAAAATTCTGAAAAGTAGCAGTCCTTTATTTAGCATTTCAATCTTTGGCCAAAAGAGGGCAATGTTTACAACAAATTCTTTTGCCTACTTTGCTAGGTTGCTGGTAAAGATTTAGTCTCTGGCTTGGCAAATGTCTTTTGGAATCAGTTGTCACAGATGCTGTATACCCAGAGTAATACTGCACCTCATTGAGGTCTTAGTAGTTTCCGAGGCTCTTGCTGAAGGCAGAAGACATTAAGAACCTCCTGGGAGCCCATTAGTCAGCCTCTGGATGCTATTAACCTGTGAGTTAGGCTTTTTTCATTATTTCCTCACAGAGAGTCCTACTGGTTTGGAAGCTCCCTGCCAGGAGGGAAATATTTCCTCTTTATTCTTAGAAATGCTCCAATCAAGATCAGACATGTATGTAAGCTGCAGAAACATTTATGATGCTTAGAGGGAGCTTCAGTAGCATGACAGGGACAGAAAAATAAACCATTGCATTTGTGAGAATGTACACATCTCAGGAGAGTCTCCTCTTTCTCCTACTCTTTCTGAATAGGTCTAAACAGCTACCAATTACAATAAAGTCCCCAAACATCAAGGGAAAAAAAGCCATGAAGATGATTTGCCATGCTTTTTTATAGCTTACATTGATACAGGAAAAGTCCTATTCTCTTGTTCATCTTAGTTAAGAATGGGGAAATGAAGAGTCTGAAAAATATAATTGGCCAGTTGGATAAGAAAAAGCAACACAGTTTCTTGCTTCTCATGTCTTCCCCTCCCAGAGATTTGACCACCTACTTGTATGCTGGAGTGACATTCCCTGAAACCAGCACCCTAGACACAAGCTACCTGCACTTGCAGATACATATTTATTTTTCATGGGACCCTTTGTAATGATAAGGAAACATTTTCTAAAAAGTTTTGTCCATAAAAGAGAAATAAAAGAATCTCCAAATTTCAAGATGGCTCTTTATTACTGTGCAAAATTCACCAGAAATCCAACATGAATTCATTATCTTGTGCCAAGGTATCTCTCTTGACATAAAGAAGCCAGATATGTTTTAGTAACCTTTTGATTCTCTTCTAAACTTCTGTTCAGATGATGTGGAAGCTTTGGTATTTAAGATTCTGCAAAGTAGACAAGTCTCAAAGCATGTGCAGTGTTAATTCACAAATTGATAGAAAGATACAATATATGTAAGCTAACAGAAGTACAACTTTCATCTTCTCCCAGGTCCAGTTGGTTGCCTCTATAATTGAACAGTTCCACTTTCTCCCATCAGATCAAAACTATCACCCTAAACTCTCACAATGCTGACAGCTCTTCACAGCTGAACTTTTGCCCTAAAAGACGAAGTTTTTCCTCATTTCCAGAAGACCATATATGAAACTTGACCTGTATTAGGATGTGTTTCTGAGAATAATTTTTATAAATCAAAAGAATGTATCTCCATTATTTTTAAGCCTTCTTTTTCACACTATCCCCCAACCCAAATGTTAAAGTCTAGGTTTCTGGAGAAGAAACATAAACCCATATCTTACTGGTTTGGAGGCCAACTCTCTATTCACTGTGCTAAGCTACCTTGATTGCATGTGCATTTTAAAACCAGTATCTGTGATTCCATTAGTATGGCAAATTACAGACCCTTCAGCAGTGCCTGTGGAGATCCGCAAAAGAAAAACAAAAACATTTTGTCCTACTCTCAAGAATCTCATGATTCAAACACAACACAAACACAAACACATATCCACCCAGTCAAGCCCCCCAACATGTAAATGAAATCATCTAAAACATTAAAATATGCCTTAAATTCAAAATAAGGCAGGGGGTGGGGTGACACTTCTGTAGTCCCAGGTTCTGGTGAGGCTGAGGCTGGGAGTTTGAGATTGGGAGTCTTGAATTACAGTGGAGCTAAAATCATTCAAGTGTCTGACCCAAGTCCAACATTAATATGGTGAGCCCCTCGGTGTAAAGGTCCACCAGGCTGTCTAAAGAGGGGGAAAGTGGCCCAGTTCAGAAAAACAGAGCCGGTTAAACTTCCATACCAATCAGTATTTGACCATGAGTAGTCTTTGTACTCCCAGCCTGAGCAAAGTAGGGAGATCAGGTCTCAGATAGATGAGAGAGAGACAGAAAGAGACAGACAGAGAGACAGAGAGAGACAGAGAGACAAAGAGAGACAAAGAGAGACAGAGAGACAGAGACAGAGAGAGAGAGACAGAGAGAGTGAGACAGAGAGAATATAGACGAATAAATAGATATGAAGTAAAGAATGACTGAATGAATGAATGCAAGTGCTCCTGACTCCAAGGTTGACACTCTATCCACTGTACCACCTAGCTGCCCCTAATCTCCAATAGCTCTACCAATTCTAGTTCCTCAATATGTCTCCTACTCCTCCTGGCACAACCCTAGAATATCTCTAGTTCCATGCTTCGTGGATTAGTGCAATAACTTTCAAGTGCTTTGAACCTCCACTTCTTCCTCTCTCCAATCTATCCTTCACACATGTTAAAACTACCTTAATTATACCTAGATCTGCCATTGTCACTCCTGCTTAAAAGCATTTAGTCATTTCCTTTTGCCTATCAAGTAAAATTCTAGCTCCTTTTCATGGTGTTAAAGAGCTAATACAAGTTGGCAGCACATAGTGTTTTAAACTTGGTCTCAAATATCCTCTATTTATTCTACACTCCAGGCAACCTGAACTATTTCCTACTCTTGACCCTCATTCCCCTGACTTGGTGCCTCTTGCCATATATTTGCTTGTACTCCTCCTCCCCGGAGTCCTGTTTCACCTAATGAATTCCTACCTGTCCTTTAAATTCTGACTCAAATGTCACCTATTCAATAAAACCTTCCACAAGCTCCCTAGTCTGTATTACAGTAGTTTGTGCATAAGACGAATCCAATTACTCACCTCTAAACTCTATTAGAACAGGGGAAAACATCTTATCTAAACATTGTATCACCCCCACCACCTAACATGGGGAGTGGTTTTAAAATGTTTGTTGAGGGCAGCTAGGTGGTGAAGTGGATAGAGCACTGCCCCTGAAGTCAGGAGGACCTGAGTTCAAATCCGGCCTCAGCTCAAACATTTGACACTTACTAGCTGTGTGACCCTGGGCAAGTCACTTAACCCCAATTGCCTAAAAACAAACAAATACAATGTTTGTTGAATTAAATTGAACTTGTGATCAGATAGCTAGATAAGAGACACCCAAACACACATCATCACAGATCTCTAAATATTGAGACCCAAGTGAATTATTTTAACTGTATCCATATTGCAAACCTTGAATGGAAGGCTAGTTACACATCTTTGAGCTGTTGAAAATGAGAATGAAAAAGTGACCCTTTCATTCTCCTCAACATGCCCAGCCAAAGCAAGCAAATTCATCCTTGTCAAAAGGGCAAGAATTCTGTTTCAACTAAATCACAAACCATGTACTTTCTGAATACCTTGGCTGACACTTCCAATATACACATCTGAGAGGAAAATACAATTCATGGGTAAAAACTGAAGAAAGCTAAAGAAAACAGAACCAATTGCTAAATATTTTTGAGTTTGGTGCTAGTGGGTAAGTGTTTGGAATTTAAAAAAAAAATAAACAATAGGTGCAAAGAGTTGCCAAGACCTAGTTACTATTTTGCCTAGAGAGATGGAGAGACTAACCCAAGTCATCTCGAAAATAAGTGTAACTGGGCTGAGAGAAGCCTCCTCAAAGCGAATTGCATTCAATGTTACCAGGAGATGCTCCTGGGGACTTCTGTAGGAATGCTTTGAATGAAAACGGCTTACAAAAACCTTGCAGTAAAGAAGCATGAACAGTTGCCAATCTGCCTCCCACAGAAACCACACATCCTGTTCTGTGTCAGCCACATCATTCATCTCCAGTGAGTCTGCATCAGAACCTGTCACATAAATGGAACACGGCTTAACCCCAAGCTTCAGAGAAGACCAGGAGAGATTCCCACAGGGGAAGAACTGCCAGTATGCTGCTCCCCAGCCTGCTTTGGTCTATCACAGCCTTCATCTGCCTGGGTAAGAACTAAGATATGGCAACCAAGCCACCTCACAAGGATCCAGGGACTGGGGAGATGAGTGACTGTTTGGCGGGGGTCATAGGCTTTGGACTGGTACAGGCAGTTGGAGGAACAGGGAGAACATTATGATTCCTTCTGCTCATTTCCAGGATCCTAACCTAAATTTGGTCTATCTGTGATCATCTCCCATGAGGCATATCAAGGGATGAGCCCTGTTCTTTTTGTTTTCTTACACAGGATGGAGCACAGCCCAAACAGTCACCCAGAGTCCACCAGCAGCTTCTATTCAGGAGACGGAAGCTGTGACCCTGGAGTGTGTGTATACTACCAGTGATCCATATTATTATTTGTACTGGTACAGACAATCTCCTAATGGGAAGCTTATTTACATCCTTCTTCAGAGTTCTCAAACCAGTAGTGTAAGAAGAGGTCGATATTCTGTGAACTTCCACAAAGAAGCCAAATCCATCAGCCTCACCATCTCGTCCTCACGGCTAGAAGACTCAGGGATGTATTTCTGTGGCCTCAGGCGTTCTCACAGTGCATTAATTGATGGAAAAAGCTGTACAAAAACTTCAAAGATCAACAAGAGACACTTACCCTCACCTGCACCCCCATTAAAGCAGGTCAGAGAAGAGCCATTATTAAGCCCCAGAGCGGAAGTAGGTTGGAAAGAGGAGACTTTAGGTGAGCACAGTGGTAGAGTATGAAAAGAAAACTGTTGGCATTCTAGGAAAAACGCTCCCACAGTCCCCTGTCTAGCCAAAGGATGATCGTGTAATAGATAAAGTCATATAGTAAAATACTAAAAGAAGCTAAATGCCTACTGATTGTGGTGGCTGGGTTCAAATAGTTTGGTTTGGCAGAAGGCAGACACAAACACAGCAGACTCCTCCAGATCTTTTCATTGGGTTGACTTTTGAGATTTATAGACCTTCACTGGACCTATTCCTCTCTAGATTTCCTTCCTCCATATCAGGAGGCAGCTAAATGTTGCATTGGATGGAGCATTAGACTTAGAGTGAGGAAGACTCAAATTCAGATTTGGCCTCAGTCACGTATTAGCTATGTGACCTTAGGTAAATCACTTAACCTCTGCCTGCTTCATTTTAGTTAGGTGGCACAGTGGATAGAGTGCTGGTCCTGGAGCTAGGAAGACTTACATTCTGAGTTCACATCTGACTTTAGACACTTAGTAGCTGTGTGGCCTTCAGCAAGTCACTTAACTCTGTTTGTCTCAGTTTCCTCATCTGTAAAATGAGCTGGAGAAGGAAATGGCAAACCACTCCGGTATCTTTGTCAAGAAAACCCCAAAAAGGGTCGTGAAGAGTCAGACACAACTGAAACAACTAAACCACATGAAGAATTAATCGAATGTAGGAGGAAAAGATGACATGCTCAGATCTGCACTTTAGGAAAATCACTTTAGCAGCTGAATGGAGAATGAATTAGGGAGTGAGTTGGGGAGAGACTTGAGTCAAGGGGCCCCATTTCTAGATACATTAGGATGAAAGGCTAAAATATAATCTTATAGATATCCTCTAACAAAATAATAGATGTAAAGCAGAGCAATTATCTAGATGAGAGGCCTCTATAAGGCACCACTGGGGTCATCCAATATGAGCCAAAAGGAAATCCCCAAACCAAAAAAGGACCTCATAGAGTACCTGAGTTACAGATGCCAAATGAGGGTGATACTATCACAAACACGTCTGCTGGTCGGCTTTAGCCTATATGAATAGGAGTTTGAATTAATGGCATGGAAATTCTGTTTATTCTTCTGAGGGAGCAGCAGAGCCTCCACATCATCCCTGTCAGACACAAAGAGCCCTGGGCTTCAGAGCAAAGGAACAATCCTTTAATATAGGGGAAAGGCTGCCAACTTGTCATTCCCTAGGCTGCTGTGGACAAGAACCATTTACATCTGTCTTAGCAGCAATAATCCCCCAAATGAGCAGACAATCATTCGGGGACTCAGGGGTTGCACAGGCAGGAAGATGGATGCATGGATCCAATGCTCAGGGCTTTTTAGAGGGAAGAGGGAAAGGCAAAAGGATGCTTACATTCATTTATTTTTATATTTTTTTTCTTAAAGGGCCTAAATTACCTTTATCCTTTGAGTCAGAGACAACAGTGCAAGGCATGTGTCCAAAGCAGGTCCAAAATAGAAAGAGCTTATATGCAACAAAATAATAAAAATTGGTAACAAAGTAGATATCCATTGAAAGAAGAAAGGCTGAACAAATTGTAGTCTATGGATGCAAAGAAATATTGCTGAGCCATAGGAAATGCTGCTGCTGCTGCTGTTGTTTTGTTCTTTGATCTCGAAGAGGACTCATGAGATCAGGGAGGTAATGCCTTGACATGAAAGTAAATTGGATTTAAGTGAGACAGGGCTGTGCAGTCACCAACAAATTCAAGAAAGCACAAGATTGATTAGAGATTAGGCGCAAATTATTAGATTATTATTATTTTAGTTTTTAACTTTAATAATTATATTATTGTTTATTTGTATAAATTATTATCATTAAATCATTAGAGATTGCTATAAAGTGAAGTAAACAGAACTGCAATGACTACAACAATGTAAACAGAAAGCAGAAAAAATATCCCTACATTGAATATTATATAATTATGATGATCAAGACTGGGGCCAAGAACAGTTGGGATAATACATTTTTCTGTCTTCATTATAGAAGTAGGGGAATATGGGTATGAAATATTGTACATATTGTAAGACGGTTCATGTATTGGTGCTTTTATTCTCTTTATTATTCAGTCTTTATTACATGGGAAAGATCACTTGGTAGAAGAATAGAAAAGGATATATTCAGAAATCAATGTGATATAAAAACAAAATAAACCAATAGCAAAAACTAGTATTTATAGAGTGTTTTAGCACTTTAAATGACATCTTTCTGCATCCTCACAATAACTCTTTGAGGTCTGGTATCATTATCTCCATTTTACAATTTAGAAAACAAGCTCAGAGAGATTAAATGATTTGTCCAGGGTCATGCAGCTAGGAAGTGTCTGAGGCAGGATTTGAACTTGTGTCTTCCTGGCGTCCAGTTCTCAATCTACAGTGCTACCTCGCTGCCCATAAAATAAAATAATATTTTTTAAAAAAATGAAATAAAGAGGGGGCAGCTAGGTGGTGCAGTGGATAGAGCTCCAGCCTTGGAGTCAGGAGGGCCTGAGTTCAAATCCAGCCTCAGACACATAACACTCACTAGCTGTGTGACCCTGGGCAAGTCCTTAACCCCATTGCCTCATCAAAAAAATAATGAAATAAAGAATTGTTATTCTTGTATTCAAGATCACAGTTTCCTGCCTTGATCAAAATGTTTCTAGTTGGGGATGAGTAGTTTTCTGGGCCTTGTTGAACTCTGCAGGGCTACAGGTCTGGTAATGATCTAAGAGTTCAGTGACTCCAATATCATAAAGACAAAGAAACAATTCCTAAAAAAATTGAATAAGAAAGAATAGAAGGAGAAGGAGAAGGGAACAAACATTTATTAAATGCCTACTATGTATCAGGCACTGCACTAAGCGCTTTACAAATATTATCTACTTTGATCCTTATGGAGGGGGAGAGGAGGTACTATTATGCTCCCTACTTTACAGATAAGAAAACTGAAAGAGGCAGAGGTTAAATGACTTTCATAGAGTCATACAACTAGTAAGTGATTTGAGGGCAGATTTGAACTCGGGTCAGTGGTACTCTATTGGCTGAACCACCTAGCTCCCTCAGATACTGGTGAGTTTCAGGCACCCTCCCACAGATCAGTCCTGAGGAGTGCAAACAGGAAGGAAACTGTTGGCATCCAAGAAGCATACCAAGGCCTTAAAGAGAAGTTATCTGTCTTGACCCTCTTCTTGTGTCTCCTATTTGATGGACTAGGTCCAAGTAGCAAGTTGAATGCTTACTCATTGTTGCCCCCTTATGGCCAAAGGCCCAAACTGCAGAGAATCGCACTTGTTTGTAACCCATACTGTTCCAATCAGCAAAGTTCTATTATTATATCAGCTCACTAGTTTTTCGGGATGCAAAGATAAAAACCAAATGCCACAGCAGCTACTCTAGAAACACTCATATCCTACTCAAAGGGTTTACAACACATACACAGATGAGTATAGTACATCTTAGAATGGGGTGGGAGTAACACAAAGTCATTGACAAAATTCTCTGGGGAAATCTGAGGAAAGATCAGATAATCTGAGCTTGAAAGAACCTTATAGGTCATTTTCTCCAGTCCCCTCATTTTACAGATGTGCAAAATGAGTCAGCTAAGCAACTTGACCAAGATCACATTACTGCTCAGTAGCCAAGCTATGATTTGAATCTAGGTTTTCATGACTCCCAAGTCCACCATACTGTTTGTAGCAATTATGCTCCAGGTTCTTTATGCCAGAGTCTGCCAAACTGCATCTCCACACTCATTCCCAGGGGTACCAAAGAGGACTTGGTATGTCTCTTCTCTAAGGATATTGGCTCTATCCTCAATTCAGTGTTTCCCCCCTACTGCTAGATACAATTGACTAGTGCTCAGGTTCCATTTAAACAATTAGCATCAATTAGTTTTTACAAAAGGATATGTACTTTGAATATATAGCAAGAAAATAGTACAAATATTCCACATGCACCTGGGAGTCACATTCTCCCTTACGGAACTATGATCTCTGGAGAGAGTGTGTTAGTACTTAATACTATTTCTACATAGCATTGGTACCACCAGCTTCATGTCTAAATGCGGCATTGCTTTTGTGTGTCTTCATCTCAGTTTCCACAGGACTAGGTCAAATCCTCACTCAGGGCATTGATGCTCAGTTGGCTACAAACCTGAAATGAACTCAGCTCCTGGACTCCTGGTTTTCAGGTTGTCCACTCTCTTGACCTTTTGAAACTCACAAAGTTGTAGTTTTCAACTTCTTTTACCTAAAATAAAAGAGCAAATGCCAAGGCCCATTCATGGACCACACATAGGCTGGGTCAGAGGCCTCTCTCTTTATAGAATTGGCTCTTACCAAACTCTGTCAGCAACAAAGAAATCACATGAAGATAAGGGGTCAAACCAAGAGTTGAGGAATATATCAAATAATGTTTTTTGAATGCACCCCAAGCTGATAAAAAATGTTCCTTCTCACCATGTGGTTAACATATCAAAACTCATTAGAGAATACCTATGCATGCTATAAAGTCCTTACAAGGCGCTTTCATAATATATCATCATGACTTTCCTAAAAGCAGCCTCCCAGTCTCTTCAAGGGTCTTCTATGGATGATTGCATTAGAAGTAACCTGAGTATACTCACTGGGATAGGACTCAGTGTCCATCCCCACCCCACCCCTTTCTCATTATACTCTTCATTACACTATAAAGAAAACATGTTTAGTTGGAGGCATTGAGGAAAACTTCACAGAGGAGATAGGGCCTGACTTTGGCTTTGAAGGAAGAGAATGTTTCTGGAAAGTACAGATATCGAGAAATGAATTATAAACATAACCTACAAAGATGCCCTTAGGCAGTATCTGATCATTCCTTCTCAGTATCTTGCCCTTTCATCGATCCCCATATGCATGATTAGTATCTCTAAACAAATGCATCCCAAAACTACCTATCCAGCCCTAATTTCTCTCCCTACTCTAAGTCTTCATCACCAACTGCCAGCTTAACATCTCCACCTGTATGTGCTATAAGAATCTCAAACTAAGTATGTCGAAAACAGGATTCACTCTCTCTCTCCCTACACCCTCTCAGGACCCTCCAAATCAATACTTTTTTCTACCTTCCCTGTTTCTGTCCAGGGTACTACCATCCCTCTCATCATCCATATTCAAAGACTCAGAGTCATCAGCAACCCTTCATTCCTCCTCATCTCTCTCCCACATCATCAGTGGCCCCCATCACTCATATCCTTCCCTTTCTCTTAACTGACTCAGTCGCACCATTTTCAGGTCCTCATCAATTGCCTCTTAATTGGACTCCC